TCTTTCTCCAATAATTTAAATTAGGGATAAGATATTGTAACAATCAATTAGAATTACAACCAATGTTATTACCAATCAATTTTACCGTTAGATTGATTATGTTGATCCAACGATTATATTTATTTTAATTTTTGTATGGTTATGATTTTTCATATTTAATACTTTATATTTTTTTTCACTTTTGTGTGCTTATGATTTTTCATATTTTTTGACATTAAATATGAAAAATCATAACCATATAAAGGTGAAAATAAATATAACCGTTGGATTAACATAATCGATCTAACGGTGAAATTGATTGGTAGTAACCTGTTACAATATCCTACCCCTTTAAATTAATTAAATTATTGAAAAAGTTTATTCATTACACAATATCTACTACTAAATAATCTAGATTTCGTATATTATTTACGCTTCAAAGTTCAAATTGCAACATATATGTCCCAAGATAAAATAGACATGTGCATCAATTGTCCCTTTTTATAGCACGGTCAATATTTGCTATCCACGTGGATCTGAGTTTGAGTCCTGAATGAATACATTATAAATTGCTAGCTGGGCTTGGATTCAAGTTGTGGTCCAAAGAACTTTCCACATTGCTTTGTTAGATACTCAAATCCAAAATATTAGATAAGCTTCACAATTATTGAACTTAATTACTTAAAGTTGCTTACTACTTGAACCACCTTTTGTGGGTTTTAATTTTCTCATTTGAAGTAGTAAGCAACTTTAAGTAGTTCTTAAAGTTGGTTTAGAAGTTTAAAAAAAAAAGAATAGTTGATTTAGATAAGCTTCATAATTATTTAAGTAGTAAGCAAATTTTGAATTATATACTTAATTTTGTTTTAGTCGCTATAATTCAAAATTATTGAAAATGTCCACATAATTTTCAGATAATGCAAAGTAGTTCTTATAAGTTACAGTTTAGCTACGAATAGGAATATAACTTAATTAATATGGCCTATTTTTACTTTGTTTAAAATTATAAAAACAGTTTTATTAAATGATTTTGAACTGTAAGAATTTATTAAATTTTTTATCCAATCCGATTTAATTTGGTTATAATATTGTCATATTCATATTGGGATGGTTCTTTCAAATCATTTTTCACATTCTCATAATTCGAATTCAAGATTGTTAGTTAAGAAAAATAATTCTTGCTTACAAAAAAAAAAAAAAAAAAAAAATCCTTACCACTCGAATCAATAATTATTGATAAGAATGTATTAATTAAATTACGAGTGAAATTATATGGAACAAATGTGTAATTTAAAGGTGGCTCAAATAGTAATTTTTTTTTTTTTTGGTAAACTCAAATAATAATTTTAACTTAGCCGTTGAAGGTGTTAATTTGTAATTTATGTTAAGAGTTTAAACCATCGAGAAAGCATTTACGGAGAGGAGAAACCTCAGTAGCGCAAGTGATGATTAGTTTTAGGAAAAAGATGTGAAAAATATTATAAAGTAAAAAATCATATTTAAACAGGATGACATGATTTTTTTTAATGTAATTTTTTGAAACACTATTAATATAAAAAAATTTATGGTATAATTTAATAATTTACCAGATCATCGAAAGAGTGTGGCTTTTAAAATTGTTGTTTGAGAGTTAAATTTTATGACATATATAACATATAATTGAATAATAATGCAAAATACTTTTACACTTACAATACATCAAAATTTAATATTTCCTTCTTCCTCTTTTTACATATTTGGTTACACATTTAGATTTTTACTAACAATAAAGGGTTAACGTTGGGGTTTGATATAATTCCCTTGCAAACAATAAAAGAAAGCTATAATTACAAATATTATATAAAGTACGCACAAAATTTAAACTATTTTAAAATATTATTAGGATTCACATTCCATTGTTTTTTTTTTTATTTTTAAGTTTAGTACAACTATAATCAGTCCAATATTTATATTTGCACAGTTGGCAGGTTTTACTCGTGGAGCAGGTGTGATCTCAGTTTTCAACTTGAAACATTCTAATTTCTAGAAATTGTTTTAGTGTGTTATATTTATAAATTTTTTATTTATAAACTCTTACAAATTAAATTATGTATTTTGAGGAATACACATTTAGGTGTTTGTATTTTTCCAAATACATAATTTAGTTTGTAAGAGTTTGCAAATAAAAAATTTATAAATATAATATTTTCATATTTAAATTATTATATAACATGTCTATGAACATATTTAATAATGAGGAAGGTTATACATATAGTTTATTTTTGTTTATAACCTCTTGCAACTATATCTTAATCGTTGATTTTTGTCAATTAACAGTTATTATTTTCGTAAATTAAATTTATTAATTAATAAGTCATAATAAATAATATTATAATTATTATAACCTTATATATGCCTAAAAATAGTATAAGTATTTTAATATAGTACTGTATATAACTAAGAATTACACTACACGTTTATAAGTTCATTTTTTGTCATGTCACATGACAAGAGCTTTGTCCTGCATACACAAATTAAGTGTGAGATCTACATTTAAAAAAATATAGAATCCAAAATTGGATCCTTATTGTAGTAAAAAATAGTATCATTTTTACAACATAACAAACTGATTTTCCCATATTTATAGGCTTAAACCTGGGTATTGATTTGTAGGTCAACTTGTACAACGTGGGTACGGAAGGGTGCTGGCTCGGTGAATTGAGACGTGACAATCGTCTGATTCGTCTCCGACCAAACCATGACTATTGGTCCAATATGTTCATTTATATTAGAAAAAGACTAATAACAATGTTTTCTTTACGTAATAAATGTAATGGATTTAATACATAGCCTAATCTTCAAACTTAATCTATTCAGTCGCAAAGTCAGAAAAATCCGAAAGTAAGTGTCAAAAATTAATCAATTATGGAGAAAGCTAGTGTCAAAAGCCAATAGCTATGAAGGAAGCTAACCATTTAAAGCGTACTGAAAATAAAAAAAACTTCTGATTTTAGAAATCAGCCAATGCAAAGCATTTGTTGTTTCTAACGTGGCTTCCCCACTAAACCTATTTATATTTTATGTAACAGTTTTGAAGTACATTTTTCACATGAAATTCTTTTAATTTCCTTTATTTTTTTTTATTTTCTGTATATATTTATTTTTTTTCTTTTATTTATATTTATATATTTAACTTTTAAGTATTTTCATTTTTTCAGTTATTTTTTATAAAATTATTAAACAAGTAATTATAAAAATTTCATTATTTTTTTAACAAAATTTATAATTTATTAATTATATATATATATTGATCTTAAACAGAGAAAAATAAAAATAAATTTATATAATATCCAATATAAACTATTTTTTTCTTATTTATAAATTTTATTATAAATTTAAAATTTTAATATAATATGATACTATATTTAATCATATTTATACTAATAATATTACCATAAGGTCTGTCAATTTTTTTGTAAATATATAATGTAATAAGTTAAGTAAAAATCTTACATAATACATGATGAGATAAATTTTGTAATTTTGAAATTCTCAATAGAAGGTTAAATTATGTTATTGGACGAAATAATAATTCGTAATAACATAACTAAAAATTAGTTAATTTAAGTGTTAGAAGTTAATCAAACCAATATTTATATATGTTTAAATTACCTAACCACCAAAGTTTAATAGTAGTTATTGTGATTTTACTTAGAAATATAGATAAATTAAATAAATTGTAATGTAAAATTATATTAGCTTTATTCAAATATATATAATTAACGTAATATATTTTTAATGACAATATTAATTATTAGGTGAATTGTTCACAAAAAAATAAAATTATTTAGGTGAATTGTAATATTATCTTAAGTGAAAAGCACTTAATAATTAGTAAACTATTAACTATTAGCATTGTATAGAAATAATTGGCTAAAATCATACTCTTATCTTCTAATTTTTTTAGTTATTAAATTCTTCTATAAATTTTGTTTACGTTCCAAAAAATATATAAATTATTAAATTAACACAATATTATTTTAAAAGCTACATCCATTAACACTAACTCTTAGACGTCGCTTAAGATCATGATACTAACGGAGTTGGTCTTTCAGAAGACGTATAAAGTTATGTTTTAGAAAAATATTGTGTTAATTAAATAATTTATATAATTATTTTGGAATAAAAATTAACCGAAGCGAAAATTTAAACACTAAAAATAACAAGTTAGAAGATGAAAGTATGTTTCTTTTTTTCAAAATAATTTTATTTAAAAATTTTAAGATAAAAATTATCCAAATATAATTAATATTGAGTTAAAAATTATATTGGAACCAAAAAGAGTAACAATTATACTGATTTACTATATCCGTAAATAATACGTTTAGCATGTTAAAATAAAATTAAAAAGTGTATATGATATGAGTGTATATTCTTACAAACAAATAACATAAAATTAAGACAAATATAAAATTATAAATATAAGTAAGTTTATAATGATTAATTTCTCACTAAACTACTTTTAATCGAAAGTTCTGTTTTAAATATCTGAATTATAAAATTTTCTTAAATGAAGTATGTACTAAATATTTGTCTATTAAATATAAAAATTAGATTTAAAAAAGTCATGCAATACATGAGTAACCTAAGACAGACCTAAAAAATGAGATATGAGTAAGAAATTTTTAAGATAGCATGCTAGTGCAGATCAACTTTAAAAATATGTTTTACATTTTTTTTTTATTGACTTTCCTAAACCACAAACACGACAGAGAAAAAAAGAGATGAAAATATTTACCAAAAAAAAAAAAAAAAGAGATGAAATTATTGCCTTAACTTCATTGGACCTAAGGGAGTAAACTATGACCAAGTCACAACTTGCGTACACTCCATCTCATAATTGCTACATGCTGCTTTAATTTCTCTCCTTATTTCAAAGGCCCAAATGTGCATCATTTTTCGCCCATTCCATTGTGTGTTTGTTTCATCGGAAAAGCCACTACTTCTGCTTCTCTCTCATTACTTGTCACACGTTTTCTACAATGGAGTTGGGAAGTATACTCAACTTCCTTCAGGACAAGACCATCTTAGTCACTGGAGCCACTGGTTTTCTTGCCAAAAGTATGCTCCCTCTTTCTTTCCTTCAAAGGATGCTAATGTTGAAATTTGCATTATATATGTACTAATTGTATGTTTTGCAGTTTTGTTGGAAAAGATATTGAGGGTTCAACCAAATGTTAAGAAGCTTTATCTTCTTTTAAGAGCTGCAGATGCCAAATCTGCTACTCATCGCTTGCACAATGAGGTAAATTATGCACAAATTTATCTTCTGCCTTTGTGCAGAAAGGCCACTTCTGTTTTATTTTCCTTTTCTTTCTTGTTTGGTTTGAAACATGTCTAGATATAGTCATTGGTGAAGCCAGGAAGGGGCTAAAATAGGCTATCATTCCTCTCAAATTCGCTAAACTTTTATCTTAAACTACATTCATACTTAAAAAAATGTAGTGTGATATAAATTTGCCCCCATGGTCTTTATTATTCATCATGTACTAAGAAACTTTTGAGAGTTCTTTAAATCTGGCTACATATAAACTATTATGGCCTTGCCTAATTTAGTGTGAATTTTGAAATCATCGTCTCCTCTCACAAAAATTTCTGATTGGACCATTGATATAGTTGTGACATCAATTTATGTTACCCTTTTCCCATTCTTTTGGTAGTTAATTAAGCATTAGCATTTATTATTGTTAAGCACGAAATTAAATACTTGAAGTAGATGTATTTTTCCCAATCATTATCATTGGCCTCACGTGGCTATATATGTATTTTTGGTGAGCAGATCATATGCAAGGACTTGTTTAGATTGCTAAAGGAGAAATTGGGCTCAAATTTTAACTCCTTTGTCTGGGAAAAGTGTACTCTGGTGCCAGGGGACATTTCTCGTGAAGATTTGGGATTGGAGGATTCCATTCTAAAGGAAGAAATTTACAATCAAACAGATGTTATTGTTAATTTAGCTGCAACTACTAATTTTGACGAAAGGTATGTACTAAAAGATAAATTTTTACGTGATTAATCTTTCTTATGTTGTAAGAGATAATTTTATTTATTACACATACATAAAAGTGCGTGAGATTCATGTTATTTTTTTATCTCTTCTTTTAACATGGTTTTATATAGGTACCGTACACTTTTACGTGTGTATAGAAAATAATTATCTTCTAAAAACAATAATTCCAACTATTATACCTGCTTAATATTTGTAAAATACAGCCATTACAGATTATTTATTTATTTATTTATGTCTTCTCCCCTAAAACTCAGGTATGATATATCGTTGGGCCTAAATACCTTTGGAGTTAAGCATGTCATCAACTTTGCCAAAAAATGTACTAAACTCGAGGTTCTTGTGCATGTATCAACAGGTTAGTATCAATATTGATGTAAATATCAACCCCAATGCTCAGGAAAAGCAATAGCTTCATATTGATTAGCTCAATATTTGTTACACCTTAATTTCAGCTTATGTATGTGGTGAGGGAGAAGGACTCGTATTAGAGAACCCATATCACTTGGGCGATTCACTAAATGGAGTGGTTGGATTAGACATCGATGCAGAAGAAAATGTGGTGCGCGACAAATTGGCTGAGCTGCGACAGCATGGAGCCACGGAGTACGAAATTAAAGTAGTCATGAAGGACTTGGGTATTAGCAGGTTTGTGAAAATCCACACATTGACTTTTTCCAAGTTATGTTCTCCTTTTCTTTAATATGTATTTTAATTAATATAGGAATTAATGTAATATATGGTCATCTGAAATGATCTTAATCATTTTTGGTTTAATCAACCGGTATCATTTTTTTTATTTTTAATCTTAATATGTGTTCTCCATAATAATTGATTTGTCTATAAATAATGTGATAATCTTACATGACCTCATGTCACATGGAATGATCAATTTTCAAATAATATATTCTTACTTCACTTCAACAACGTGAGTTAAGATCAATTGTTGTTTAGGTGAAGACTTAAAATTTGTCTTATATTCTTAACAAGTTCTCTTATTTTAAGAGCTTTTTGAGTTAGGCAATATATTATCCCACTTTATCTAATAGGAAAATTAAACTTTGTTAAAAAAAGTGGGAGTTACAAAAATAGAATTCATTATGGACGAATTTCTTAAAAGCTTTAAACTATTTAAGCGAAAACTCCAAAATTATTTTTATGTCTCACAAATTTGGGGTTCATAATTAATTTAGTTACTTATCATAATTAATTGGTCTTAACCTTTCTGTAAGCCCACTAACTAGCTGTTGCTTTTTAAACTCATCCTAGGCTCCTAGCTTAATTATAGTGGCCTATTAGTTCGACACACAGCATACTTTTAGCTAGGTTATTATTTGGCCTACCTGGAATAGTTTTAGGGTTTTGTTTTATATGACATGAAAATAAGAGTTTTTGAAAATAGGGAATATTATATTTATAAATTTTACTATGTATTTTGGAGAATACATTATTAAGTCAGTGTATTTTCCATAATACATATTATAATTTATAAAAATTCATAAATAAAAGTTTATAAATATAATTATGCTATTTGTAAATAATTCAAGTTTACATAACTTTTCTAGAAAATGATTTTTATGAAGGACCCAAACAAATGTGGGATCCTATTTAACAATTGAACCAATTTCTATACAAAGGTAAGTGTAGAAGTAATGAAAATAACAACGATATCCAATTCTTTAGGACCTATGACAACTAAATCAATGAATAGGACAAACAACCTACATACACCTACCCAAAGGGAACATGTTAGTATGTTACACGCCGATTAGGCTATGTTGAGCCAGAAGGCGAGGACTGTAGGAAAGTAATTAAGAATATATATATATATATAGGAAAAATGTTTCTGCAGTTAATGCAGATAAGTTATCTGCATTTATTTTCAAAACGACGTCGTTTTGGGATTGAAATCTTAAAAAATTATAAATATAAAGACTATTATAACTCTGAAATAAATTAAAATGACAAAAACATCATGATTTCCGTCCCAAAACGATGTCGTATTGGGCTTACTGGAGATAATTTTCTCATTTTAATTTTCTCATAAAGACTATATATATAGGAAATTAATTTTCTCATGTTATACTCACAATATATGAGTTAGGTCCACAAAAAGGTGAGAAGACAAAAAGTCAAAATGAGACCCACTCATGTATTGTAAGTGTAGCATGATAAAATTTTCTCATGTAAAATGAGAAAATTATTTTTCATATATATATATAATGGGATAAAGAAGTCTCATATTATAAAAAATTTTAATCTCATAACATAGATATAATAAATGTGGAGTTCACCTATTTAAAAGAAAAATAAAAAAAGAGTGACATATTTTTTTTATGATATCTGTATAAAAACAAACCTCGTATATCTTAACCTGCCAATCCTACAAGGAGGCAAGCAATGACCTATTTAGATAGAGTAGGAAGCATTACACACATGACGCGTGTATCAAATGGATCAATGCTTCGGCCTAGTGTGAACTTGAATTATATATAGTAGTTATATCCAAAGAAAAAAAAAATTATATATAGTAGTGATCACTGAGCACCAACGTAGACTTTTTGTTTTATTTGTGTTATGGTTGAATCCAATGAAAAGGGAGGGCCTATAAACATCCTACCTAGAAGTCAATGGTGTTCGCTGTTCATGGTAAAAAAACATTATTACTCGATCTTTTGCAAAAAGATGATAAATTAATTAAGATACGGAGGGCATTATGATTGGTTCAGATAGCAAGTGTATTTATTGCTATTTAATTTGTAGATTGAAGTAACATTATGAAAGTATTTAATCAATAGAGGGCTTGGCTTTGGTACATTAAAACCCCGAATTGACTTCTTACCAAACACGACCAACTCATCATTTTCAATATTGATGAAGACAGAGATAAGATTGCTACAAATATTGTTCACATATGAGAGTGACCAACATGATTACAGGTAAGGCTTTCAGACTAGAAATGGGAAACATAAATTGACACGGACAAAAACCACTCTCTTTGCAAAACCTTTATGGAGTTGCCAGCCCAATTAAGGCTCTTTCATTATAACCTTTCCTCCCTAAGGTTAACATGAGGCCAATCGTATAAGCTTCAAATTTCAAGATTATATCTCCAAAGAAATCAGAGCGAAAATGACTTCTCCACAAGGATCAATTAACTGCAGGAAACATTAAAGGATTTAATATCTTTAATATTGTAGGAGATAAATTTTACCTGCTACACATACATAAAAGTATATATAAAAATATGTGAGACTTATATTTTCGTTTTTTCTCTTTTCTATTTTCTCTTTTTTCTTCATACGGCCTCACATGAATCTCACCCACTTTTATGTATGTGTAATTACAACATAAGAAATATCAAATCTAACATTAAAATACTAAAACACAATAAAGAAATGATTCAATTAGTTGTAGAAGAACAACTATGAAAATAACTAAAATTTGTTTGTACTATAGTTGCAGGATATTATGATAACATTCATAACATATTATGATTCTATCTGTCTCATTGTTTTGATTTATTTATTTTTTTATAAAATTTATTTCTTCAAAGTTTTCGTAAGGGATTTTGAATTATTATTATTTATTTTTTTTGCCGAGAACTATATTCTACTTTCATTTGTGGCACATTGTCCTTTCAGGCACTAAATGCATTTACAGCTCTTAATTAATTGTTTGCCTTTCCTTTTGTTTTGCTTTCAATTTTATTTATGGGACTTATTAATCTTATGTTGAGAGACATTTTATCTTATATCATAGAAATAAATATGTGACCCTCTTTGTTGTTTTTTTTATTTTATAAAATGCGGGTCCCACATATTTATCGTTATGATATTAGATAAAATGTTTCTAATAACATGATAAAATATTTTTTCTATATTTATTGATAAAATGTATTTTACAACTGAATAGTCACTGTTAAAGTATTCATTATATTATAGAATTTGTGGTTGATTTGTAAAATATGTTAACAGAATTTGTGAGTATTACCTCTTAAACACATAAGTTTTGAATAAAAATAAACATAGTTTCTGCATAATCATTGTATATAAAATAGTTATTATATATATATATATATATATATATATATATATATTAATTTTTTTATAAATCTAATTATTACAAAAAATCTTAAAAAGAGATGAAAGCTATTACATGTACCAGCTGATAAAGTATGCCGCACAAATGTCACCCACATAAAAAGAAGTCACATAAGCATAATTAAATATTGTTTAATGTCTTCCAGTGATGTTTAAAAAAGTGTTCCAATTTTTATTTTATTTTTATTTTTTTTAGGAGCGTTCCATTTTTAAATGAAAGGTGCTCATACTTTATGGTTTTCAGAGAGGAAGATTGCTTTATTATTATTATTATTATTATTATTATTATTAAGGATTTGCATTTATCACGTCACATGACACACAAAAAATTTCTACACACACAACATTTTGTGGGGCTGCACTTTTTGAAGCAAAAAAAAAAAAAAAAAAAAAACTAAAGCACGCAAAATGAATCTCTATAACATTACACAATTACTTTTCCTACAACATAACTCTTATAGTTTAAACCCTTAGTATTATGCATAAAAAACTAAACAAAGAGCTTTATTATAATTTTAGTATTTCTTTTGAGATGAGTTTATGTTTGTTGCGAGAGTAGAGTGGTTTATTTTGAAGTATGTTTTGTGTTAATAGCTTGGAACTTAAATGAGCACGCTAGAACCTTAGTTCAGCGGGCCCAAATCAATACAAAAGAATATGTTTGACACTTACCTCTCAAATTTAGTTTGAGATAAGACTTCTGAACAATCTGTAACGGACAATGATTTTTGTTCATTGAGAATTACTCCTAGAAATACAGTGATTTTTGTATTAGATTAAATTTTGAAAATCAATTTTTGTTCATAGGGCAAAGTTGTATGGATGGCCAAATACATATGTATTCACAAAGGCAATGGGAGAGATGCTTGTGGAGCAACTGAAAGGAAACATGTCCGTTGTTATTGTTCGTCCTACCATTGTTACCAGTACATTCAAAGAACCTTTCCCTGGTTGGGCTGAAGGTGTAAGGTAAATCTTTCTTTTAATTTGACTTTTATCAGTGTATGTTAAGTGTTAAATATCAACGTAATACTTGTTTTTGTGTTGAACATCAATATTTTATGCCAAAATCACTTTTCAAAGATAAAGTTACGGAAAAGTTATATTTATAAATTTTTATAAATTATACCCAGTAATACATCATTGAGTAGAGTATGATTGGTCAGACATAGTATAATTTGTAACTTTGTAAAAAAAAAGTTTGTCAATATAATCATACTCTAAAATTATATCTAAATAATAATGGGAAATATTTTTTCCTTTTAAATGATCCAAGTTATATTCTTTTAACAATTATAACTATATTTTATACATAGTATATAGTTATAATATTAAAATTATAATTTTATTCTCTCTTCAGAAACTGTTTACTGTCGTAGAAAGTGAAAAAGTACAATTTTAATATTATAACTATATATTATTATTAATATATAGTTATAACTGCTAAAAAGACACAAACCCAAACATAAATTACTTCACTCGAAATATATTTTTAATCAAAATCAATTTTATATAGAATCAAGATCATTTAAAATTAAATTACATAGCATATATGTGCACGTTTTGCTAAGAAATTAAAATAGTGAAATTTGTACAACAGAGTTGAGTTGAGTGTGAAAGTGAACATGTCAGTTCATAAATGTACACTGCTTCTTGTTTTGGGTGTTTGTTACAGGACCATTGACAGTTTAGCTCTTGCTTATGGGAAAGGAAAATTAACATGCTTCCTTGGAGATCTCAAGGCAGCTGTTGATGTGGTAAGGTTCTGCATATGAAGCCCATTATTAATGCCTTAATTACTCTGATTTCTCCATTTTTTATCTCATCTAAATTAAATGCCACCAATTTATGTACTAAGCAGATACCAGCTGACATGGTTGTGAATGCAATACTAGTGACCATGGTGGCTCATGCAAATCGTCCTAGTGATATTATATATCATGTTGGTTCCTCTGTTAGAAAACCACTCAGATATATCAATGTTCAAGACTATGGCTTTAGATATTTCACTGCAAAACCATGGATAAACAAGGATGGAAAACCCGTTAAGGTTGGCAAAGTTACAGTATTGAGCAACATGGATAGCTTCCGGAGATATATGTTCATCCGCTACATACTTATGTTAAAGGTTCCTATCTAGCTAACCTCCCCTGCCACAGTTATGATTGAAACATGAATGATTTTATTATATCTATTAACATATTTTAATAGGTCTATTTTTATTTTTACCTTATATTTAAATTTAACTTTTTGTCATAAGAATAAAAAACAATAATTGAACTCTAGATCACTTTATCATAGAAACTTTGATATCATGTCTCGAATCAATTTTTCCAAAAATTTAAATAGTTAGGTAAAAGTAAATGAATGATTTTACTGTGGAAAATATATATATTTTTTTAAAGGATATAAATTTAAATTTTTTTTAACAGAGAAATAGAAATAAAGAAGTATGGATTTTACTAAAAAAAATAAAGATAAAAAAATATAAAAGTATGACTCTCACATCTTTATGTCTATCTTTCTATTAAAAAAATTTAAATTTGTGTCTTTTAGAAAATGCACACACTTTTTCTTTTTACTATGATTCTTTTGAATTATCACCAATTAATCATTACCAGGCTTTCAATTGAAATTTTTACAAGGACAGGTGCTGATGACTTTTGCATTTAATAGGGACTTGAGCTGGCCAACACAGCATTTTGCCAGTTTTTCCAGGGAACGTATCTTGATCTCAATAGGAAGATCCAGATTGTGATGCGTTTGGTAGACCTTTACAAGCCTTATTTGTTCTTCAAGGGCGTGTAAGTATTATTATATTCACTACAGGCTTCAGTATGATCTATCTTAGCTTTTTTGTTCATGTATTTGACATGCTTTTATTCAAACATGTATTGCTTTTTATTCAAACATTTCATGTATAAAAGCTTAGGCAAAGAATGTTATGGCACACAGATTTGATGATATGAACTCAGAGAAGTTACGTGTGGCAGCAAGACAAGGTGGGGTGGAGACAGATTTGTTTTACTTTGACCCCAAAGTGATCGATTGGGAAGATTACTTTTTGAACACCCATCTCCCTGGCATTGTGAAATACATTTTCAAGTGATATTATAAAGTGAGATATATATATATATATATATATATATATATATATATATATATATATAGCTTTAATTTGTCTTGTGAAACTGGTAATTTTATTAAGTTCAAATTTGTGCTAGAGGAAATACATTACAGTTGTGTTATTTGTTTCTCAAGGGCAGTATAAAGGGTGTTAGATAGCTGCCAAATATGTTTCAAAACTTTGATCAAGTGTATCCATAATCATATATTTTAATTACTTGTTTCTTACAATATAATAGTCTAAGTATTTTCTAGCATGATCTACATAGCAAATTATCAATTCTCATCTTAGATTGAATACCCTACTATATTTTTACTCCAGTACAATTTTTTTTTTGGTAAATGTCAGCAATATCTTTTAAATTCATTAGTTACATATATACATAGGTACTTATTGGATACAAATATACATAGGTACTTATTGGATACAAATAGAATGGTGGCATTAAGATTTGAACCTACAACCTCAAACAAATTACCCAGACCCCTTACGAGTAGATCAATTCTATGACAAGTTTTGGTGTTTTCTCATACACAGGTATGTAAATGAGCTAGATCAGCCTACAGGAGTTTACGGCCTAGCCTATATTATATTAGGTCAAACTTGGTTGATTATATATAATCAAATAGGGCAGACCTAGGCTTTTAAAAAAATCTATTTGAAAAGTAGGTCGTAGGTTTTTATTTTTTTATTTTTACATATCGGGCATATAGACCTACAGACTGGTCTATATTATATTATTTCTTTTAAATAAAACAAATGAAATTATTATTTTAATAATTTTTAATAATAAAGTAATATTATTTTAATTATTTTTTTAATTATTGAATGTTTAATATGTTTAAACAGGTTAAAAGGACTAAGCATAAGTTTTTAAATATAGGACATGTCAGACTTATAATTTAAATCTATACAAGACTAACAGGTCAGGTCAGACTTAAAATATTTTATACAAACCTAAACTATTTTAGCCAAAATTTAGTCTAACCTAAACGGCAAAAAAATTAAAATATTACTTTTTTAATAAATAATTACCAATAAGTTGCTGTTTTGAACCTAATTACAAATATACTGCACTTATTTACGCCCAAATTGAGCGTGATCATTCACGCCTAAGTTAGGCGTGACTCACAAGGCATTCATGCCTAATTTAGGCGTGACTCGTCTGGTGTTGACACGTAGCACAAAAAGTTAACAATTTAACGGTAAAACTTCTGAAGGCCATAACTTTTGACTCATGTATCCGATTCAGGTAATTTTTTTTGATTCCATATAACTTTTCGAGATCTACGCAATGACATCTTATTTGACATATTTTATCTCTCACAAACACAATACAAATTTGCAACAATGGTACTATAAAGATGGCATCAAAGTGGATTAGTCCATCTATAAATAAGGATACTTAATGTCATATTAAAATATATACTTTCTACCAAGTGTTTTAAGAAAAAAAAATAGTGTACAAGGTTATTGAATCGCAATACGTATCTTGTATCGTTTGGTCGATTTTCTGTATCATGAATCATATCGAATCGTAAGATACAGAAATATAATAAAAAATAATTTAAAAAAATATAACTTTTTTATGACTTTTATCGAATCGTACGGTAAGTTACATCCTTATGTTTTATGCTTTTTCCTTTAAAGGCATTTAAATTATGTATGTCTAAGAGAAAGAAAAAGTAAATACATTTAAAAGAAAAATAAAAAAAGGGACTAATGGGTATAAGAAAAGAAAACTAAACCTGAAATCGAATCCCGAACTCTAAAGTTTGGAAACGTTTCTGATACGAAACAATAACTGGGTCTTTATGGCTGGATTCGTTGGCAGCTTATAGTCTCTTAATGATTTTCAAAAATAAAATCATTCTTCCTTAAAGATTTAAATTATTTAGTTAATTATTTCATTTATTAATATAGATTTTTTAAATTGATTTTTGAGTTTAAACCACAAATTAAATCTTTATTTTAATTTTCTTATTAATAATAATTTTTTAGATTTTTTAATTTAAATCACAAAAAAAATCTTTATTTATTTTTATATTAATTTTTTTTACTTTTTTTAAATTTAAATCACAAATCAAATCTTTATTTATATTTTTATATTAAATCACAAACCCAGAACTCGAAGGCTTCTGGGTTTAAACGCTCTTATAATACCATTCTTGTAAATTTGAACTGTGTTTGTGATAGATAAAATAAGTCAAATGAGGTGTCATTGCCTAGATCTCGCAAAACTTTGTGGAATAAAAAAAATTACTTGATTTGGATACCTGAGTCAAAAGTTATGGTTTTTCAAAGTTTTACGGTTCGTAAGTTGACTTTTTTGTGTCACGTCTTAAAACCAGACGAGTCACGCCTAAATTAGGTATGAGTGCCTTGTGAGTCATGCCTAACTTAGGCGTGAATAGTCACGCCTAGTTTAGGCATGAATGAGTGCAATAAATTCATAAATAATTTCGAAACAGCTATATATTCGTAATTATTTATTAAAATAAGAGGAATGTTATACATACAACCTTTTTTTTACAACCATATCTTAACACCGTTGATTTCCTCCATTCAACGGTTACGATTTTCGCAAATTAAACTCATTAATTAATTATTAATTCACAATAAATGATAACCGTTGATTGACAGAAATCAACGGTGTTAAGATATGGTTGTAAGAGGTTGTAAAAAAAAAGGTTGTAAGTATAACCTTTCTCTTAAAATAATAATATTTTAATTTTTTACCATCCTAACCTATTTACAGTCAGTAGAGGTGGCAAAACGGGTCGGCCCGCCCGACCCGTCCCGCTGTCAACCGCCAAAAATGGTTTGGTCCGCCCTGTCCCGCATTTTAATATAGGTTGAAAATCCCAACTACCCCATTTTGTGGTACGTTGGCGGGCCAACCTGCCTAAAAAAAAAAATTAAAAAATTAAAAATAAACACGTGGTCTTTGACGGTGAGAGTTTTCCCATGAACCACGTTGTAAGAACCCGCTCCGTTAATTTAGAAAATTGAATTAATTAAATGTGAAATTAGGAAATAATTTCATAATTGACCTTAATAATTATGAGAAGGATTAAATAATTATGGTAAGTGATTAATAATGTTGAAAGTCGCTTTTCTGACGAAAAGTGCAGATATCGGTTCTGCTCCACTGTATAAATGCGTACCGATGAAGTATCCCGGAAAATTATGAAAAATATATATATATTACTAGAATAATATATAGGACTTGTATAACAAGTTTGGGGTCAAAATAATGAGAACTGGTGTCAGAACTGATACTGGCTACGTAAAAGCGCGTATCGGAAAAGTGCTGCGAAAAATAAAATAAAAATATGAAAAATCTTAGAAAAATGGCTAGGTTCAGAATCCAAAGTTTGGGATTAAAATGTTAAGCGTAGCTATTAGTGCTAATACAATGTGGTTAATGTTAAATCGGCTATAAATACCCTTTTACACATAATCCTAGGCTGATTCTCCAGCCTTTCTACGTGGGTTTTTGGCTGCTGCTTATGTTCTCCTACTTGCTACCTTCCTCCTTCAAGAAAAATCCACCATTTCTCTTTGATCCTTCCTCTTCCACCTTGTGAGCACTTGAGAGGGTGTGTTGTGAGGGAGTGAGACACATTCTTGCTGACTAGGAGCTGCTGGTTGGGAAGGTTTAGGGGCTGACTCCATAGTTGAAGGTGTGTGAACTTTTTTGCTTGGTGTTTGTGGTGCCAGGAAGCCACCTTTTGTGTAAAGAACCAAGCTTTGATCACCATTTTCGTAGCTTTGTAAGGTCAGACTTGAGGAGCTGCAGTGAGAGCTCCAAGAGTACCCTCTTTTCTGTTTTGAACCTTGGGTAAGTTCATCACCTTTGATCATGAGTTTTCCTTGTTTAAAAGTTGAGTCTTGGCTTGTGAATGGTTTGGTTAAGTAACTAGCATGTGTACTGACCTATATATGCCTAAAAATGGATCCTTGGACATATATTAATGTTAAAAGTTGAACCTTTGGATGATATCTTCGCAAAAATGCAGAATTGCATTCTGTCATGAAATATCCGGATACGATATCCATATTTTGACACACATGACATGATTATTATGCTACATTGCACTGATTTTGGAACTTATATTGTTTTCCTGTTTTTAGAACTTATATTGCACATGTAAGTGAGCTTGGGGTGGAAAGATCCTTGAGGACCCCTTGTCTTACTGAGATTTATGTTTAGAGATCTTAACCCATGTTTGGGGCACATTTTCAGGTTCAGGTAACTCGGGGGTTGAGACCTCGGACAGCAGGAGGCCGAAGCTGATGTGATATGCTTCCTGTTTATACTGTTATGCTTGGATGCTGACATGTTCTATATTTATTATTATGTTTTTGTTGTTGAGACTCTGTTGGGCTTTGTTGCCTTATTTGGTGAGCATGAGGGTTGTCCATGCCACATTGATTGACTATGTCTTATTTTATAATTGAGTTGTATAATGTATCAATATTATGGTCTGGACTACGTATGGTAGTTCTATGATTTAGATACTCACTTATTTATATTTATGTAATGAGGCTATTCAGTGTAATTAGCTGTTTATTTGCAATTTACATACACGCAATATTTAAAAAAAAGATTAAGTAATCAATTTGGTAATTAATAATGACGTCATAATTGAAAAGAAAAAGTTAATTCCGTATTTTAATTAAGTGCAACTTAATACGATGATATAATAACAAACTGAATATACCTGGAGTGTTACACACGTGGTCCCTAAATTAACTCTTATGACTTGAGATGAATTGGACACGGTATTTATGATGAGCTGCTGGATTGGCTGTAGTAGTTACGGTTAATTACTTCAGAAAGGTAGATAGTTAAATTGGCTCTTAATTATTCTGTGTGAGATCTCTATTTATATTCTGATTCTTGTTCTATTTAACCGTAGCAAATACGAAATGAAAATATGATAATAGGCTTGTTGCTGTATAACTGTCACAATAAA